TGACTAAGTTATTTTAACCATTTACTGAACATGATTTAACTAAAAAATATGACCCACTTACTTGAGAAAAATACTTTAAACAGTATTTAACATGAATTAACTACATATGCCATACTGTTTGTTTATTTAGCTACACTGTAATTATTTACAAAAACGAGAACATTATGCTATACAAGAATATTTATTTTTCATTAATGTAGTTGAAGTAGCTTTAAGTGTATATTTCTTACCAAAACGATTTTACAGCAGGGGATTGCATGTGTATTTACATCGGATACCAGTTGACGTCTTTCATCTCACCACTGTCCTCAGTCTAAATATCTATACGAGCAAAATATTTTATTAAATTTTATGACAATTTAAATTGGTTATATACAGCTTGACTGTCTGTGCTATATAAAGATAATAATATTAATAAATAATAGTTTCAGTTAGAAGAAAATATATTCAACTAAAACACACTGATAATCATATTGAAACGTTTTATCCGAAATATGCGCTGTCCGAAATTTCTAAACATTATATACTTCTGAGAGATAATCAGGTAGCGCTATAGAAAATTGATAAAATCAAATTCACCAGTCTGAAGTCAGATGCGAATGATGATGTATCAAATAACAAATTTATTAGATTTACATGGACATGAAAATATTACAACATTTATTGCGATAAACCGAATTCGAAATGACACACCCACCTGAAGATTATACGAAGTTGTCTTTCATTGATACTTGTTCACAAGATGAAACTATTTGCATTTCGCTACAAAACAAAAAACTCTGCCAATTTCAACATATTCTTTGCTTTACCGTGTAAGTTTTACTTTCCAATCGGCATACAAGTATTACTCAATATAGATAAGCAATGTTGTTGATATTTGTTTGTACCCGGAAGTGCAAAATATCGTGAAATCTCGCAAGTCACATGACGAGACTTACATACCCTATTACGTTGATATTTTGGTTGCAATCAATTCCGTATGTAATATCAAGTTTTCTTCACAATCTGGTAAAGCTATTGATATATTTCGCTTGATAGACTGCAAATTTTAGTGCAGTGTCAGCTCGGCCCTAAAACGTACTCGGCCCCGAGTCAGCTCGGCCTTTTTTCAACTCGGTCCACTTTTCAATTTATTAACATATTGGTTTTTCTTATCATTTTTTATTGTTGAAACCACATAATTAATATCTGGACTTATTCAGAAACCTGGAAAGATATTTTCTTAAATTATTATTACATTTTTGACTACTTTTTGAACACATCTCTATCAGTCTATTACTCAATTTACTGTATTAGCTATCTAAGCTTAACAAGATAGGCCCAAAACTTGTCATGATATACAGGTAAAATGTAATAATTGGTGAAAAATGATAGTTTTCAATTTTGTGATCATGATTTTTGCAAGCGACTGGAGGTACTGCCCCAGCCCTGTAATGAATAAAATCCTATCCTATGAGAGGTCCCAAAATTTAAAGGACTAGTAATAATTATAATTGTTAAATACAATATGACCCCTGCAGGACAGGGCAGACCGTGAGACAAGGCGGACCGTACCAGGGCGGACTGTGACTTGAGACTAGGCGGACCGTATTTTGGGACATCAATAATTTAATACTTTTATTACATTAGTCCACATATAAATACTTTTTAAATCACGGTCCGCCTAATCTTGAGTCACAGTCCGCCCTGTCCTTAATTCAATATGACTTAAAATAAGAAATACTTATTTCATACATGTAGATCTGATTTTCACAGTTTTGCCTTCATCAGATGTAGGATTTCATGATATTTATGGTCAGTCCATAATTTTATAGATTTTTTATTTGTAAATTTATAGACATTTATATCTGAAAAAAGTAGTTGTATTAAAATTCAAAACCACAGGTCGATAATAATAAGATAACTGATTATATCATTAAATATAACAGATTCCAGATAATGTGAATATCGGCATATATTACGCTTTAAAATCAACTAAAAACGTACAAGGTTAACAATTTGTTGCGTTCATTTACGCACTCTGTAAATTAATTACGCAAAGAATGTGAATTTGAAGTGTTTTTGGTGTGTACTTTCATTTTCGAAACAGCTGATTGACCGCTTCCATTTACCAGTTGAACTGTGTATCTATTTCCAATTAATACCTGTCAAGATACTTTCAACTATTTTTTTCTGTAAACCAGTCAAATTACGTCTTTATTGCTTGCGTGCTTGATAAAATAATTGTTCTATTTTCTTGATAATTGTAAGGATTTATTTATACTGTATACACATGTTGTGCATGGTTGCTTCAAGGGCTAATCAAATTGACATTTTTTTCACACAACTCTGTTGCCGGGGAAACTTGATAAACTTACCTCATTACCTTTGTTGCTGTAAACAATCAATAAAAACAACTTGTCTTTAGCAGCGGAATTTTATATACATCATATTAAGTCATCATTAATACTTTTATTGTTTAACATCTATATGATTATTACACTAATAGTATTCATGGAATTGGTAGAGGAATAGGCAGTGGCTAGCAGTATGAACCAGTATTGGCTGTATGCGAGTCAAATACGACTAGCATATACTCGCTGTTGAGGCTAGCTGTACAGCATTTTAAAAATGAGTTGCCTAAAACAATAATATGCAAACTTGTTTTTCTAAAAGAAGATTTTATTGAATATCATATACAATTTCAGTCAATGGGAAAGTAAAAAAAATTACACCCGCAAGGACTGGGATCCTTAGACTGATGATTTTTCCCCCGCCCAGACTTTGACAGGTTTTTTTGTAGGTATGGGGGAGGGATATTGCCAAAATTATAAAGAAAGATAAGTAGTTGTATTAAAATTCAAAACCACAGGTCGATAATAATAAGATAACTGATTATATCATTAAATATAACAGATTCCAGATAATGTGAATATCGGCATATATTACGCTTTAAAATCAACTAAAAACGTACAAGGTTAACAATTTGTTGCTATATGAATTATCAGACTCAACTATAAGATACTAAAGAAAAAAATATACAGAAACATAATTGATAAAACATTAGCATAATTCACAAGAAAACAATTCATGTACATCTTTCAAAGGTTTAATTTTGAAGATTGGAGAAAAAATATGTTTTGGTAAAGAAATTATCCGAGACAAGATGGTGGCTTACATTACTTAGCAAAAACTGGTCGTATAGTGGTGATTTTGGTTATCTTGGTCTGTGAATACAAGCAAAAATTAAAAAGATAGATCAATCTTGGAAGCTTTGCATATTTCAGAAGGCCAAAAATTGTTTCAAACTGGCTGAAATTTTATTCGGACATGACAACTGACTGTATCGAAATTTATCTCGACCCTACTGATTTTTAGTTGGCGAGGTCCGAGGACTGACAGCCTTTTCGTACAGACTGCAGTTTACAGTTGGTATAGTAATTTGTAGTGTTTGATGATCAAAAGATTTTTTTTCCTTCTGAAAATCATGGAGTTGAATAATTTAAATCTGTGTGAAAGAGAAAGAGACTGAAAATTAATTTATTATATTTTTATGGACATTATTATATAGATACATTTGTAATCAAACATGTGGTTTATTTTCCAACAGTAGTTGAATTATGACAAAGTTTTTTTAATAATTTTATTTCACTTTTAGCTACTTGAAAATTTCATGCTGGATGTTTGCTTACCATTACATTTTGCATAAGAGCTCTATGATTGACATTAAAGTCCACGGGCCAATTCATTTCTGATATATCTTTCCGATATCTTGTTATAATATAAAAGGCTGAACGTCATCGTAGAATTATTAGGAAAAAATATATATGTTCATTCTTTGTAAAAATGTTAGAAGACTTGCAAGTTACCAATTTTATCATTGCATTTATTTATTATGGAAAAAATGCTGAACGGCTATCCTCAACAGTGTGTATAGGCTAGAACTTTCAGTTTGCATTTAGGGTCAAAATATATTGTTACAGTTATGACAGCTTTCCCGTTGCTGTCAACAAACTTCAACCTTTCATAACTTTTCAGATCTTGGTGTATTGTCTTCATACTTGGCCACAACAACCCTTCAAATAGACCAGACTAAACTTGACCTCCATATAAACATTCAAGGTAAAATATTTAAATTTTCCTGATTTTTGCTATTAGTGGCTATGACTTTGTTATTTTTGAATGGATTGTCTTCAAACTTGTACACAACAATCTTTCAGGATAGGACCTGATTCACTCATTAATGTCCTTGAAGCTTTTGTGATCAGAAGTTGTGTAAAATAATACAAATACAGAACAATTTCATTTACTTGGTTTTGCAATTTCTGAGACAATGGATTTTAAAGATAGTTGTTTTCTTAAAATTTAAGGACAGTATAGTAGATTGAAAAGACATTTAGTACATACTGTATATACACTATAACTACTATAGTATACTATAAAAATCTTTGTTCTTGGACAATTTTGAACAAATTGTTTCTTAAACAGTGTAAGAAATTAGGATTTGAATCGACTAGTCTGGTCAGACTACCAGATTGGAATATTCACTAGCCCAAAAGACATTCTCTGGCACGATTAATTTGTTTCAAAACAGTTGTTTATATTGCCTCTTAAAATACAGTAGCTTGGTCAGGCCTGTTACTGTGAAAAGTTGGTAGCCCGAGGAGAAATTTAGTATTCAGGGGCTATAGGACTACTGCTAATTTCTAACACTGCTTAAATTATTGATTTGACTATTGATTTCAACTAACATAATTATTGGGATACTATATGTATATCTAATAATAATTATATTTTATCTTTCCAACTTTCTGTTTCAGATGGTCGGCCTACATGTCAGATTTGTAAATGTGAACGGCACGATATCGATTTTAAGGATGCTTTAGGGTCAATGAGGATGAAATAAAATGTGAGACTGTCAATCTGACAAACCTTGCAGTGAATAAATGGTAAAATGTTTCTTTCAGTAGCATGGCATTTAAGGAAGCGGTACATGATGATTTAGAAGTGGTTGTATATGATATTTCTTAATTATTATGTTCTAATAGCTATTTAGTCCCCTACCGGTTTAACCGGAGGGGACTTTAGGTTTACCCGGTCCGTCTGTCTGTCTTTCCGTCTGTCAGTCCGTCAGTCCATCTGTCCACAAAACTGGATCCCGCAATAACACAAAAAGTACTGAAATATTTTAATGAAACTTGATATATGGATATATGGCAGTATGGAGATTATGCACGTCTTTTTTTTTTTCTTCCTATGTTGAAAATTCTGGTTGCTATGGCAACAAATAGCCTGAAAATATGGCAAATTGAACACATAAACTGGATCCCGCGAAAACGCAAAAAGTACTGAAAATATTTTTATGAAACTTGATATATGGATAGATGGCAGTATGGAGATTATGCACGTCTTTTTTTTTCTTCCTATGTTAAAAATACTGGTTGCTATCACAGGCAATCGGTGCGTGGCTTGGATAGTATACATGTACATGACCACTCCCACTTACTTTTTTATAAATATTTTTTTTTTTCACTAATAAAATATTTTTTTATTCAAAATATTTTTAAAATATCTTATTTTCAATAAATCAACAAAGAAAATTTGTTTTTAAAAAATTTCATCCATATATACTATTAATATAGTAAAGGTAGAAAGGTTCGCCAGCGGACCTACCACCAGGCCTTATGTTACCTCCCAGATCTTTGTTAATTGTCAACCAATTTTCACCAAATAAAGTGCAATCTACGCAGAAATGATTTTTCTTTCGAAAAATGTACAATATTAGAACAGTTGGTACGACAAAAGATGGAATTTTAAAGCAAAAATGCACTTTTTGTCTAGGTCGGCCATCGCATGACCGAGCCGAAAGTAGACGATTTTGAACATAAATCGATCTTTTTCTTAATAACAAACTAATGTCAGTGCATGCAAACAGTTGAAATAGAAAAGGCAGCTATAAAACTATCGCTTACCGGTCCAAAGTTAATCCAAAACGTCTGCAGGTACGCACTTTCAGTAGTTATTTGCACTAACTTTTTAAATTTCCCGACATTGTACATGTATACAAATTCTGATCCGGATATTCAAGGTACGCATGCTCGGTTCCCGCTGGTACCCAGCTTCGCTCAATTTTTATTATGCGAAAAGGGGTACGCATCAGATACATCCGGGTCAGCATTTGTATACACGTAATGTCAGGGAATTAAAAAAGTTAGTGCAAATAACTACTGAAAGTGCGTACCTGCAGACGTTTTGGATTAACTTTGGACCGGTAAGCGATAGTTTTATAGCTGCCTTTTCTATTTCAACTGTTTGCATGCACTGACATTAGTTTGTTATTAAGAAAAAGATCGATTTATGTTCAAAATCGTCTACTTTCGGCTCGGTCATGCGATGGCCGACCTAGACAAAAAGTGCATTTTTGCTTTAAAATTCCATCTTTTGTCGTACCAACTGTTCTAATATTGTACATTTTTCGAAAGAAAAATCATTTCTGCGTAGATTGCACTTTATTTGGTGAAAATTGGATGACAATTAACAAAGATCTGGGAGGTAACATAAGGCCTGGTGGTAGGTCCGCTGGCGAACCTTTCTACCTTTACTATATTAATAGTATATATGGATGAAATTTTTTAAAAACAAATTTTCTTTGTTGATTTATTGAAAATAAGATATTTTAAAAATATTTTGAATAAAAAAATATTTCATTAGTGAAAAAAAAAAAAAATTATAAAAAAGTAAGTGGGCGTGGTCATGTACATGTATACTATCCAAGCCACGCACCGATTGCCTGTGGTTGCTATGGCAACAAATAGCCTGAATTTCAAGATTTCTGATTTAAATTTTTCAGCTTTTTCACTATAAGTTCTTTATTTCTTAAGGTGTTTACTTCAAACTTTAAATATAAGTTTCTGGTCATCAACCACATCATATGTGACACGGTTTACAACTCTAGCACAAAAATTATCAGTATTACCTCCCTTGAACTTAGAATTTTTATGAATATAAAAATTGTCTTTTTAAAATAACTTCTTTATTTCCTAATGTATCTACTTCAAACTTCATATATATGTTTCTTATTATCACTCAACATTTTTGAGAAGGTTAAATACTCTAGCAAGACTATTTCCAGAATTATGTCCCCCTTGAACTTTTTCGAGAAATTGGTATTTTTCACTCCAACTTCTTCATTCCTTATAGGATTTACTTTAAAATCCAACATTGTAATAATATGACAAGGTTGTATAAACATAATTTCCTTACTAGGCAGGGAAACTTAACACATTACTGTGATATAGACAAACTTAGAACTCAAAAGATTCAAGTTCATTCATGTCATTCATTCACTGGTAAAATTGACTGGCCAATGGCCCATCAGAAAGTTGCTGGGGTTCTAACCGGTAGGGGACTTATGGATTGCTTGCAATACTATGACAATTGCTTGTTTTTCTTGACTTGTTTAAAGGCTGACACAGGATAGTTTATTTTAAGTCAGTGAGCTTCTATCACTGGATAGACTATAGTCACAAATGTCCAAATTTATGAAAAGGAATTACAGTGAATTTAAATATCATCTTATAGAATAGAAATTAGGAACAAAATTAATAACAAGAACAATTGTGACATGTAACATGTATAATTTAGGAATTCAGCTTTCCTTTCCTTTTCACCTCAGGAGAATTCACATTAATTTAAAATAATGGATATTCACAATAAGCACTCCGACATATCTGACATATATGATTATCTTATCTTCACTTAGCTGTCTATAGCTTATCAGAATCACTCACATTTATAAATTTAAATGATTTTGAAAAAATTGCTGCTTAGCAAATAGATAAAATACTTGGGGTGTCTGTGGCGATTGGTTGACTTTAAACCTTTAAGCCTTTCACTGCTGTAGGTTCGTGCTCTGCAAGTGTTTACGGATCATTTCATGTGAGAAAGCTATCTAGCTCATTAATGGAGCATTGATGGTACCCAGGTGCCTGAAATCATACACATAGGTGCACCAAGGTCTTCCTCCAGCAGTTAGGCTGGAAATTGTGCTTTAAATTGCCCCCACCCCCCCCCCTCCCTGAAAAAAAAAAAAACAACAAAAATAATTGAATTTTTATTTTGCTATTAACTTTTTCTAAACAAATATTTCAGGAAACAGTGGCGTTTGTATGATAGAACAGTAATAGCAGGAGTGATAAGGACAGATGCATGTAGATGTGTCTTCATGTCGGAAACACTAGAGAAATTGACACATTTGGGTTTTTCAAAATTAAAGAAATTGGAATACCAGGAGACTGCTTGCCATTTGCAATGTTGAAATGTGTGATGTCGAAAGCCTCATGAATAAAGTAACTTGACTTAATCTAATAAGAAAAAGAAATGACATTGAGGAGAAAACTAGTCACCAGTCTTTCACCAAGAACATGAGATAACTTTCCAATATTTGAAATATCATAATATGTATAGAACTTGAATAAGCGACATAATATGTATTGATATTGAATGAGCGACCAGTTTTTCACCAGGAAAATAAGATCACTTATCTATTTTTGAAATATGTATGAACAGAACTCTATCAACTTCAAGGTGAGAGTTTATCATGAAGAACATGAGATAACTTGTGTATGAACAGAACCACATTTGAATATAGAGGTGCCAGTTCATCACCAAGAAGATGAGCTAACTTATCAATGTTTGAAATCTGTTATACCCCCGCACAACAAAGTTGTAAGGGGGCTATACTGGAATCAGCTTGTCCGGCCGTCGGGCGTCCGTCGCTTTTTTCTTGTCCGTCCATAAAATTAAGATTCCTTTGACCCACAGTCTTCATATTTGGCATGGAGTTAAGTCATGATTAGTAGATGACCTCCATTAATTTTGAGAACACCAAGTCAAAGGTCAAGGTCACAGGGGTCTTTACTGAAGAAAGCTTTTCTGCCCAATAACTTAAGAATCCTTCGACCCACAGTCTTCATATTTGGCATGGAGGTTAGTCATGATTAGTAGATGACCCCTATTTATTTTCAGGTCTAAGGTCATGGTCACAGGGCCTTGGCTAATTAAAGCTTGTCCACCCAATTACCTAAGAATCCTTAGACCCATAGTCTTAATATTTGGCATGGAGGTTAGTCAAGATTAGTAGAATACCCCTATTGATTTTGAGGTTACTGGGCAAAGGTCAAGGTCACAGGAGCTTTTATTACAATTAGCTTGTCTGCTCAAATGGTCTCATATATTCATCATAAAACACCTCCAGGCAAGGCTGCATGAAATGGGGGGGGGGGGGTTATTGAAGTCATTCAATGGCAGTTTTAGTTTTGAGGTCAGTAGGTCCAAGGTAAAGTTCACTTTGATCTTTTCTACTAAAACATGTAGAATATATAACTTAGCAATGCACTGGCTTACTTCCCTCAGATTTGGCTGAGCTGTAAATGACTACTGTTGATTCTGACAAATTGGTATGTGGGGGTATTCACGCCATGACAATGGCAGTTCTAGTTTGTACAGAAAATATCAAGATGCAAGTTTCTTTTATTAAGAATAGACTTATTGATTAGATAACTTACAATATTTACAAACATTTATAATACCACACCCATTTAAAGTATTTCAGCAGAGAGTGTATTATCCAAAATACATGTATTGTTATAATGTACTTTATAGTACATGTATATTTATTGATATATTTATTGTAAAGTTTTGATTCTTCTAGATTTTAAAAACATTTAGATTTTACTTGATCTTGAAAATATTTTGTTCCATGCTCTTTCATTTAATTTTGAATAATGAATCCAATAAATACCTATAATAAGTATAGGATTAAAATTGATAATGTTTTCTATCTTTAACTTATATAAAAAAGTAATGTTTAAACTGCTGGTTAGATTTCAAACAGGACTAAACAAGGGTGTACAGTGCCATCCTTAGTTGTGCACATTGTTGGCATGTTCTCATTGTCGGATACCCATGGCCAAACCATTAATATTCATCATTGATTGCATGTTATTTGACATGTTTATCAATTGTGGGTCTCCAACGATGGCAGCCATGTCCTGTTTCTCTACACAAAATGGCCGAAGAGTTAAAAAAAGAAAAATCTATCACATGTACAACTGCCAAAATTCAAAAGAGTGATCAGAACCATACACAGTTTTGGGAGACATGTTTTTGTGACAAAAGCCCTTCAAGTTCATATATGACTTTGACCCTTATTTGATATAAAATATCTTTGGAGTTAGCTGGAATTGTCATTACTTTGTTATTTTTTACAGATTTGAATCATGCTTGAACAAACAAACACAGAACCAACATGTTGATTTTTTTCTGATATACTTTGACCTTTAAATGACCATTACCTCCAAGGTTAAACAATTGAAATTCACTCACATTGTCATAACTTTGTTTTTGTCTATGATTTGATTCATCCTTGGACAAAAGAACAATTATCATTCAACTATGACCTTTACTATTCAAATTTGAAATTTACTTTATACATTTATATTATTTTTTCTAGGAGTACTCTAATAGATATTACAATATTCTCCTACTGATGTGTTTGACTTTCAATATAAGAAAAAGCCAAGCATGGCCCAAGCTAGATAGTGGCTCTTGTTTTCAATGCCAACTTGATTATATGTATCCATTCCAATTTACATTCTCACATGTATTATCTATTGTGCTTGAAAGGTTTCTACAAAAAATAAGTTTGTTCTTACAGTCCTGGTTTTATTTTAGAAATATTTTATAGACAGTTAAATTTTCTGTTTATTTTCTATCTGCATAATCATTTCTTGGAATAAATATAGTAAGTACACTGATTTATGTGTTATACATTCACATAAGGAAGTACTTTACATGAAAATTGGTTAAACAACTAAAGTTTCCCAACAAAATCCAATGTCATAATTTAAAATGTTTATTCATGATAATATGATATCAATTATGCATTTTGCCTGGGTTTGTTAGTATGTTCTTGGTACATGATTTTCAATTTTGACAAGAGTTTGGAAGCGATACTATTATATTGTGTACAAAATGGGCACTTATTCAACTTTGAAAGAAGAATGATATCAGATTGGAACACCTAAAGTAGATTGCTATACAAATCTCGAATTTAGCACATATTGCGCCCCCATCAGTGCTTTCAGCACTTTGATTATCCAACGTACGCACCGGACCTCTAAGGAAGAGATGGATAATGCCTTTTATATATGGCAATGAAATAGAAATTACTTCATGTCTGTTTTCTTATTTGCATTTTCATCTTGTACCATGTGTTTAAAGATAATCACTTCTGTTGGTATTCAAAAGTACCTTTTTATGTTAATTTTGATACGCTTATTAATAAACAAAACCTCCTCAAGCTTTACAAAAGTCAAATTGCGTTAATATCAATTTATAATTATGGTTTTGTGTGTTTCAAATAAACTTTTTAAAATCAATCTATATTTAGATTTTCGCAGGCTGCAATCGGAACGTCCTAAAAATAGTTATAAAACATAGTTTAGATGTGAGTAATGTAACACGGAAGAATATATTTATCATCCAACGACGATAAAGTCTGTTTCGGTACAAATTCTGATTAAAAATATGTCTGGCAACCATTGTTGATTTAAATATGCCCACTGATGTATATTTTTAAACAAATCCGACTGAATGTCAACGGGTTGGAATTTTGCACAGGTGGCAGTATCAGTGTTTGGACACCTCACTCACCACACCCTGCCCCTGAACCCCTGCTACAACCCTGAAAAAAATCACTGATTAGGCTAACTACGTATAGGATACTAAATACAAAACCACCTATAAAATTATATATAAAAAATTCACTTGTATATAACAATAATTTTGATTGTTATATGATTTTATCGGTGGTTTAGTATTTAGTATCTCATAGTACTAGTTAGACCTTTCTATCTTAAACTGAAACGGAATAGCAGTAAATCTTAGGGGTTTTCTCAAACGTAGTAAACCTTGAATTTATTACTCAACAAAATCACAGGGTTTCGTATTTTCTAAAGTGACATTCGTCTCAAAGAGATGAAAAGATACATTCCACTGATAATGAAAATAAATATAGTGACTGTTCTACAAAAATTACTACATAAAAATATCTTTGGTTAAAATAATACGTCACATCTCTGCTTGTAACATTAATTTAGAAACTGCTTATTGAATGTATTTTGTTGACTTACATCTTAATTCAATTATTTTTTTTGTTTAACATTTTCATTCCGAATTCATAAGTCGTCATTTTAATGTATCATTTGCAGCAATTTTCTTCGTCGCACCAAAGAAGTACATATATTAACGACTCGGGGAAGTAGAAGTCTAGAATGGCGCCAAATTGAACTAATCGACCTGTATTTCTTGATCTCCCCTATAGCATGTTCAACTAAAACTCTATATTTCTGAATAAGTCTGTTAATCTTTCTGCATTTTCTTTTCTCTCGAACATTACGTCTGTTAATTTGCTGTGATGTATATGGGGTCATAAGGGGATGTCGATTAGGATAAATTTTATCTCCTTGAAGAACACATTCCCCTGGAAATGGAAGTCTGTCGCTGCCAATGTCTGGCATAAGATTAAATTGCTGAACATCATTCAGATGACCGGGAAATCCTGATTCTATATGACAAACGTCACCATCGGAATCCACAATAACTTGCGTATTGATTGGAAGTGACGGTATCCAGAATAGAATTGTTCCTGTGGCACATTCATTGGTCGCAATATTTCGTGTGATGTTCCATGTATTGCACCAACTGCGGGGTACAGTTTATCCCAATCACAACGTTTACTAAGCCACTGATCTATTGTAGGCCAAGTAATGTAATGCGAAAATGCTGCGTAAAATGTGCGAATCATTATGCGAATTTCAACATGTACATACGCGGTGCACACATTGAATATTGCTAAAAGTGTCATGAGAGTTGGGTAACACTGAATCCATATAACAAACAATAAGATTCTGTTTACTGGAGACAGTTTGTGACGACTGTTATTCCTAAGGTTTACAATTTGTAACATATCTATTAATGTTTCTGGTGTTTCACCAGTAAGATTATAGAAATTGTACCTATTTGCAGAGAATATTTGGAAAACGTTTCTTCCTGAATATATATATGAATCATTTGAAAATAAACGGTGACGAATTTACTCCTCAACATATCAGGTCAAAAATCAATGTCCTCTATGTGTCACTTCTTTACACCCCTCCCACCCCCCTACAATTATGATACAGAAGAATGCAAACTTCATTTCAAACAGTTAAAAAGAGGACAACTGCAAATTTGCAAGATTTATCGTCTGGTTTTCAAATGTCGTATGAATCATTTCAGGTGCATTGCAACGTCGAAGGAAAGTTCCTTTTTCAAAGGAAGAAACCTTATTAATTCTAAGAGCATATGAACTTCACCAAAGTAGCTGCATGGGCCAACGTTATTACTGATATCAAGGCAAATATAGAACAACTAGTTGCTGTACAGAACGGCTACATCAAATCAGTTGAAAGACAGAGTTTCAAATAAGTTTGGTCGACTTCTTCACAGCAATATTGATACCATTGAGGATGCTGATATAAGGTAAGATTTTAACAATGCTCAGAGGAATAAAACAGCATGCTAGTATCTAAGCTAAGAAATATTTCCTGTAATGAAGACCAACAAACAACATTTCAAAATTATGGATTTTACAAGACAACATTTACGTTTAAAAATCGGACATGTTTTGACAGATGATTTATATAAGCGGTCGTGTAATAAGTTTATATAAAATACTCTTTTTTTCAAGCGAAACATAATTGAAATAAAAAAAAACAACTGCACATTGTCTTGTCAACAAAATATTGCTGTTGATGATAGACACTACTTTTGTTTATAGTGTAATATTTTTATTATTAAACTTGATGTATATATGTAAAAAATAAGTTGTACATGAAGTGACAGTCTCTTAAAGTATCTCCAGGGATACTAACTGAGTTAGTTCTCAGTTCAGGACATATGTGCAACGTATACGGGATTTAGAGCGTAGACTTGTTCCTCCGCCAAGCGAAGTTAACACCAGGCAACAGAGCGATCAAAGGGAGCTCCTACTTCAACAAGTCAGTGAGTCCGACGACGATGATGTTGGAGGAGGAGATAGAGCAGCTCCACAGCCCGCAGGCAGTCAACATCAGCAAAACTTGCAGGTTGACAACAACGAAGAGAGGGCAGGTCCAAGCAAAGTTCAACCCCCACTGCCGGCTGTTTCAAACGTTGCAGCCGGTCAACGTAATCGACCGGCTCAACGCAGGAGGAATAGGCGCTCCCTTGCCGATCAAATTAGAGAAAACCAGGCTCTCTACAGGAGATTCCTGACAAAAAAAGTTCCAAAAATACTCCGTGAACTTGGCGTCAGCAGTGACAGCATTGATGACAATTACGTTTAGCCCCTTTTCACGTACTCACAAATAACTATAAAAATGGTCAACTGAGTTATCTTTGTTGAAAAATTAACATGACAATAAAGTATATGAATTAAGAAACTTGTTTTGTTTTTTTTTGTCTGTATAAACATTTTGGTTATATTATATCTATTATTGTGTTGGTGGTTTATACAAACATATTCATGTAAAAAAACGCTACAAATTACAGCGTCTTAGTTTC